GGGACTCGAACCCGGGTCGCAACCTTGGGAGGGTTGCATCCTACCCCTGGACTACTGACGCGACATGAAGCCGCTCTACCCTCGTCGGCCTTACTTCATGTATCGCACACATTTCACTACAAAATGAGGCGTGTCCGCTGCACGAAGTGCTTGCATCACCAGGATAGATTACGAGCACGAAGCAGGTGACCTTCATGGATCGCTCACGTGACCGGATGAACATCGACGAACGTCGCAAGTTAGAGGTCCCCCACTTCTTTAGATGTTTCAATTTCCACCTAAGACAAAAGAAAAATCTGGTTTTGTCCCTGTTAATTATGGAGCCACCACACACGCATGCGCTGGAACGAGCGAGCAAGCAACTGTAACCCAGATGCACGCACTTCAGAACAGCTCAATCTAGCGAGGCGGGCGTACCCTTCCAGAACCTCCTCTAGTGAACTCTAGTTTACATTCTATAGCTAACCTTTTTAACGGCCCCATGGAGTAAATAGGGCAACAGTTCCCGACGATACCGACCCCCAGTCGCTGAATTGCGGGCCCTCCGTGGGACGCTCCATCAAAATGAACTGCCCAGCCCTAGATCACGCACTGTGGGACCACCGACCTTAGATTAAAGTATTTGTGGAGTGAATTGGTGGCTCATTAAGCTCAACAGATTCGCGCACTTCCACCTTAGTGAGGACAGACGGAAAAAACGATGCTGCCACACGCAAGCCTTGTAGTGGAGAGGGTTCATTTTTTGATTTGCAGACATATGTGATCTAGCCTGTTTTCTGCATACTCACAACTGACAGCCCTAGCTGACGCATTATATATAATAGGGTTCATGAGAACTTCGCTGCAGGGAGCGCAAGCAGGCGTTTGCTTCCTTTTTAGCCCAAAACATCTTGGTTTTGGTAGGGGCCAGCCACGATGCAGCCTCAACCTTATCAGCAGACCTTAGGAGGGCCCTGGAAACAGGGAGCAGCTAATCGTGGTATCCATGCTGCATCAATTGCGGTGAGGAACCACCCTCAGGAGTTGGCTCTGATGCAGCAGCTAGTAAGGCTTCAACAAGAGAACGCGAGCCTTAGAGGCTACGCAGAGAGGGTAACCAAAGAGCTTAGAAGTGCTCGTCTGTCCCAAGCTGTGGCAGCTGCCGCTGCTGGAGCAGGTGGTGATGCTCCTACCCGAGCCTCTGCACTGGCAGCAGAGCTCCAACAGCAGGCAGAAGCGCTGCCACTACCTCCCTGGTGTCTGAACATGCAGCTCGTTAGCCCACTACTTGCTGCGTACGACGAAAGGATACTGGAACTTCAAGAGGAATCAAAGGAAAAGGAAAAGGTAATTGAAGGATTCAGCGCGAGAGTGGCAGTAGTAACGAGAGAAAACGAACAGCTAGCAGAAGAGCTTCGCAGCAAGACAGCACGCCTCCAGCAACTCTTTGAGGCAGAGGCTGGAGGCTCTTTAGGCGGAAATGGAGGAGGAAAAACGTACAACTCTCTCTTGCAGGAAAGAAATGAGTTGGAAGAGCTCTATACCTTGACGTCTGAACAAAGCGAGGTGCTTCTAAGCCAAAATCACCTGCTTAAATGCCATGTGCAACAGAGCGANTGACGTCTGAACAAAGCGAGGTGCTTCTAAGCCAAAATCACCTGCTTAAATGCCATGTGCAACAGAGCGAATCTGCGCTGGAGGAGATGAGGGTGGCGATCGCGGAGACGGAGAGGCGGGCTGCTGCAGTTGCTGCAAAGGAAGAGTCACTGACTAAGCAGGAGGACACAGTAGCAAAACAGGCCCTGCAGTTGCAGGAGGTCCTGGAGCAGAAGAAGGAGCTGTCCAGGAAACTTGCTTTGGCAGAAAAGGAAGCGGAAAGGCTTTCTGCTACACTGGCAGACGCGGTGAAACAACAGGAACTCCTGCAAAAAGAGCTGGAGAGAGAACGCTCTGGAGCTGAGGCAGCTGCCACGCTACAAAAAGAGCTTGATGCTTTGAAACAACAAACGGAAACAGCAGTCAGGGAGACAGCTGCTGCAAAGGAGGTGGCGGACTATTTGGAACAAAGACTCTCAGCTCAAGCACGAGAGACTGAAGAAGCGCGGAAGCAGGCAGAGACCACCACGCAACAGCTCCATGCTGCAGTAGTTGAGAAAGAGAGAGCAGTTGCAAGCGCAGCGCTGCTGCAGCACCATCTTGACCAGCTAAGGGGGCAGCATGAGGCGGAGATACAAATTTTACGGACTGCGCAGGGCGACACTTTGGAGAAGAGAGCGTTGCAGGCCGAAGAGCTATCAGAAAAGCTGAGGCTGCAGCTAGAGGCGCTGCAACGAGCACACGGAGAGGCAGTGGTCAAGCTGGAGACTGCAGAAAGGAGAGCTGCCGCAGCAAGCGCAGATGCTACACAGGCAAGGAATGAGCTTGCTTCGTCGGCAAAGCATCACCGGACTGTACAGCAGCACCAGCAACAAGCGCAAGCAGCAGCAGAAGCTGAAGTTGCAAGGTTGAAGGAATCGTTAAATTCACAAAGCAAGGACGCTGCATCAAAGGCAGCAGCATTGGCGGCTTCCAAAAGGCAGCTGGAGGACAGCCTTGCAGCAGCAGAAACCGGCCGTCTTGCGTTACAACAGGAGCATGCTCTCCTGCAGCAGAAGTGTGATCAACTTCAAGAGGCCTGTAACGCCCAACAGCAGCAGTTAGCTGATGCTGCAGCACGGCTAGCAGCAACAGAGGCCGAGAGGGACGCGGCTAAACGCAGGGCTGAGAGGGAGACTGCAGACGCCAAAAGGCGATTTGAGAGTCTGACTGCTTTGGCAGAAGCAAAGGCGGCGAGAATACAGGAAGCTGCAGACAGACGGCAGACAGCGGCAGCGCAGAGACTGATGGAGGAACAACAGCGGCAAGAACGAATGAGAAGAGAGTCTGAGGACCAAAGGCAACGCCTTCAGCAGCAGCTTGCAAAGGCTGTTGCAGCAAATGCAGCATTAAGACAGAAAGTAAATGAACTTTTGAATGGCCTTGACAAGGCACTTCTCCCAGAAACACTACTAGATGAGGAAGTGGAGTCAGAGATGTCTCCATAGCTCGAAAGTACCAAAGCTGTTGTATCTAAACGCATGGGGCTAGTGGTGTTAGAGGGCAGTGCTGCTANTAGCTCGAAAGTACCAAAGCTGTTGTATCTAAACGCATGGGGCTAGTGGTGTTAGAGGGCAGTGCTGCTAGTCATGAAGGCACACTTGTTTGTTCCTGTACATCTGGAGCTGCACACGCGAGCAAATAGGTTTCAGGCTGCAAAGTCTTTGCAAGGTGCAGTGAAACAACCTCTATTTGTCTGTTGCTTTTTGGTGTCGGCGACGTAAATACAATACTAAGCAGATAAACCACTTCATGCAGGCAGTACAGCAGTACGTTACGCTTCTTCGGGCTTTGCTTCGTTCCAAGGGTCTCCCAGACGTTTAAATTCCATCAAGCGCAGTTGCTACTTTGGCAGTTTGCTTATATATGTGCATTGCTTACAAATACTCTGACCCTCGAGGCCGCAAAAGCAATGTCTATTCATACTGTTTTTGGGAGCAATAAAGTACTTCCAGCTCCTTGTTTGCAAGGCCACGCAGGTCCTGAAACATTCCTACGTAGCCCATAGATGATTCGTAGCATGATGAAAGGATTTAGTGCCACGCCGTCTGCATTTCCTCTGATGTGTACCCTGTGCACACTTCGATGGCTTGCACGCCTGCCGCACGGGTCAAATAGATGCAAGTAAGCGACGAGCAATTCATCTCTTCAAAGTTTATCCCCCTTGGATTATTAAGCGAGTAGATAAAATGACTTCGCTAGACACATTTTCTCCAGTTTCCACAAACCTTTTACAGTTCAATGAGCATGTTAGCGCGAATGCATTATCGCGATATATAGTCCTCCACAACCTTCTGTGGAGGCATCCCCATGCTGTGCCAGCCGTCAGCGTTGGGGGTCCTCAAGCGTTCCTTAATTTCCTTATAACTGACTTTAAACATCTCAATTTTTGCCGTTAAGCGCGCATGGCTGCATCTGACTTTACTTGGATGCCCCGACCTATTTTACCTGCTTTCTGTTGCTGCAGTTTTCTTGCTACCACCTCCAGCACTAATTAGTTTCCCCCTTCCAGCTCTGAAATAGTATCACATAATAAACGGTTGCCTATAGGGGACCTATACGGCAGACTACGCAGTACGACTGTATATGCACTGCCGAAAACTCTGCTGTCGACAGTTGCTATAAACTGTGCCTGGGGCGACGGTGTGGTCGAACTATTTACCTGTAACTCTGCACAAAGAAAATAATGCTATGCAATGGTACCACGTGCCCAACACCAAGCAAAACTGTCGGCACGAGCTTCTGGTTTCAACGTATGCAGACAATCCCTAGAAGACAAGCAAACCCCAGTTGCACCTCAACGGTGAGAAAAGCCCCTGACTACCTGGGGAATACGAAGCAAACGAACGATAAGGCAGGCGTGTCCTGCAGTGTTTTTAGGCTTTTGGCGAATTCTCACGAACTCGTGTATGGCTATCACATATCTCAGGTGGATGTCGCCTTGGATAAACAACCCCTTTCATCGGAATCAGTTTCTCGGTGGGCTTGTTTCATAAGACATCTGGGTCCCTGTTCATAAGTTCCCGTGCGAGAATGTCGTAGTTGAGCATCCCGCCATCCGATATCGCATCAGGTACCTGAACATATGGCAGGGGTCGCACTCCATCAGCAACGCGCCAATACGTTGTCAAAGAACTTCCAAAGGTGCCTCACCGAATCAAAAAACGTGAAAAGTGCCATTTAGCAGCGGCGGAATAGTAATACGTTTCATGGTGTATTCATATTTTCTCGTTGGCTCGTAGGTGAGTGGCTTCGGATCCCGCCGGCCAGTACCCAGGAAATGTTCATATTACCTTCATGGCCCAGTCAATAAATTTGTCAGCTTCATCGTCTGTTAAGGGTTCCCCTATTTGTTGCAGTACGTATCTTAATTCTGGAATACTTATCTTTCCAATAGCGTCGTCGTCAAACATACGAAAGCATTCCACTAGTCTCTCTTCCTTCATTGGGTCTGCGAAGTACGGGGAATCGCAGATCTGCAAAAAGGTGTGAAGGTCAAATTTTCCTGTATTTTCCGGATCGTGCTTCTCGATTATCTCCTTCAGAGTTGCCTCAGAGGGTGATTGCCCCACGGAGCGGAAAAGTTTAACAAATTCCCTTGGACAAGCAGTGCACACACTTATCGGGTGGCATTAAGATACACAAGCATGTAGACGTCGTGTGATAGTACAAGATGGACAAATTTGCCTACAATGTGTGCTTTGTGTGCTTTCTCCCTCACAAACTACAAAAGCAGATATTTTGCATGCACAGCGGGCAGTCGGCTGTGTTGCGCACTCGGCAGTTAC